GGGAGAAAGGCGTGTGAAAATAAGCTGTCAATAAATTCCTGTGTTGAAGCATGATGATATACCTTATATGTATATATATAACTTATATGTACCTTAGATATTGTAGTTGGACATTGTAACCGAAAAGCCTAGGTTGGGAGTTACAATAAACGTATGTATGTATGTGTGTAACTTGGGGTAGATGAGGGTTAACGTGGTAGAATATGGCTAGCTTAGGGTAAATGAGGGTTAACATAGTAGAACATGGCTAACTTAGGGTAGTTGGGGGTGAACGTGGTAGGACTGCGGTAATTTATAGGTAGATGGGTGTTAACGTGGTAGAACATGGGTATCTTGGGGTAGATGAGGGTTAACGTGGTAGAACATGGGTAATTTAGGGTAGATGAAGGTTAACGTGTGTTGAAAATGCCTCACTCCTGCGCGTGGCGCGGGTTTGGTCATGCGCGGCGCGGATTCAAATGTAACACGACGTTTCGAGAAAACTAGTTGAGTTTTCATCGATTAAAATTGATATTCAAAGACAGTTCGAGTGACCATTACGTGGTAAAACATGGGTAGCTTTGGGTACATTAGGGTTAACGTGATAGAAAATGGGTAATTTTGGATAGATGAGGGTTAACTTGTGTTGAAACTGCCTCACTTCTGCACGTGACGCGGGCTCGGTCATGTGCGGCGCGGGTTCGATAAAATGTAACACGAGGTTTCGAGAAAACCAGTTGAGTTTTCATCAATTAAAATTGATATTCAAAGACAGTCCGAGTGATCATTACTTGGTAGAACATGGGTAGCTTTGGGTAGATAAGGGTTAACGTGGTAGAACATGGGTAACTCTGGATAGATGAGGGTTAACTTGTGCTGAAACTGCCTCACTCCTGCGCGTGGCGCGGGTTCGGTCATGTGCGGTGCGGTTTCGATAAAAATGTAACACGAGGTTTCGAGAAAACTAGTTGAGTTTTCATCGATTAAAATTGATATTCAAAGACAGTTCGAGTGATCATTACGTGGTAAAACATGGGTAACCTTGGGTGGATAAGGATTAACGTGGTAGAACATGGGTAACTTTGGGTAGATGAGGGTTAACTTGTGCTGAAACTGCCTCCCTCCTGCGCGTGGCGCGGGTTCGGTCATGTGCGGTGCGGGTTCGATAAAAATGTAACACGAGGTTTCGAGAAAACTAGTTGAGTTTTCATCGATTAAAATTGATATTCAAGGACAGTTCGAGTGATCATGACGTGGTAGAACATGGGTAACTTTGGGTAGATAATGGTTAACGTGGTAGAACATAGGTAACTGCGGGTAGATGAGGGTTAATGTGGTAGAACATGGCTAAGACAGGGTAGATGGGGGTAAACTTGGTAGAACATGGGTAACCTAGGGAAGATGGGGGTTAACGTGGTAGAATATGGGTAACTTAAAGCAGATGGGGGTTAATGTGGTAAAACATGGCTAACGTCATGAGATACAGTGGCCAACCGTATCATGTGATCTATCGAGGGATATCGATATAGAGGTCGCTGATGAAATGGAAAATCTGGGTAAAGATGACGCATGGGAACTTAGCGTATTAGCCACTTGCGGATGAATTCGCAGAATTTATCCCGTTTTTCTGCAATTCATAAAGAAAATGGAAAATTGGGTTAAAGATTGGATATGGCAACTTAGGATCTATTTAGTTATTTGGAGGATGAACTCTTAGATTTTACTCCGTTTTTTTGTCAAATTTACTAAAAAAAATTAAATTCGGGATAAAGATAGCATATGGGAACCTCGGGTATTATTCACTTGTAACATGAATGCTTAGAATTTACCCCGTTTTTCTCAAATTCACTGATCAAATGGGAAATCGGGGTAAAAATGGTATATGGGAACTTAGCGTGGTAGCCACTTGCGGATGAATTTGCAGAACTAATCCCATTTCTCTAGAATTGATTAAAAAAAATTGAATATAGTGTTGAAGATTGCATGTGACAACTTGAAATTTATTACATTTGGAGGATTAAATCTTAGATTTTACCCCGTTTTCTATAATTTGTCGAAAAAATGGAAATCGGGGTAAAGATAGCGTATGGGAACCTCGGGTATTATACACTTGTAGCATGAATGCTCAGAATTTACCTCGTTTTTCTAAAATTTACTGATCAAATGGAAAATAGGGGTGAAGATGGCATATGGGAACTTAGGGTATTAGCCACTTGCGGGCCGAATTCTCAAAATTTATCCCGTTTTTATAGAATTAATTAAAAAAATTTGGAAAATTGGGTTAAAAATGGATTTGGCACCCTAGGATCTATACCACTTGAAGGACGAATTCTCAGAATTTACCCCGCTTTTCTAGAGTTCCCTACTTTTTTTAAAATGTGTAACTTCTTCTATCTTTTATTTGTAGTCAAGGCGGTCAGTCTCGACTGCTACCGGTAACCGTGAATCCGGTACCACCTGTTGCATGGGTCGGACTGTCGCCGACTAAACCGACAAGCTCACCTGAGGTGAGGTGTGGAGGGTGAAACCGGGCAACCTTACAGAACCAAAAACAACATCTGTCAAAGGTCTGTGGTTGACCACTCCAAGTTGGTAGCCCGTGGCAGTAATTAAGGGCGGTGATAGACAACCCTATCTCCCGGCCAGCCGCTGCAGCATGATGGAAATCATGATGCCACCTTCTCTTGACTTGTTCTTGCCGCTGGATTACATTCCTGCCCTGCCGAGAGAGTGATTCTGGTAAGGCGAAAGCCATTATTACTTAGCCTATTCGCATGCATTTCTATTAATAAATGGTAGCAGAAACAGTTTCCCATAAGGGATTGAACGTCGCCCACGTTAACAAGGATCGCGCTGGCTTGTTCGCGCTCCGACGACCAGTGGAAAGTAAGCTAGGATGCAAAAATAACCACAGGAATTTTCTGAGACTAGCTGAATGGAATGTAAGAACCCTTCTAGACGGAGCTAACTTAAAAAGACCAGAGCGTCGGACAGCGATACCTGCAAAAGAGCTGAGTAGATACGACATTGGTATTGCCGCTCTGAGTGAAACTCGATTTGCTCTACATGACAGCATGACAGATAGTGGCTACACATTCTTCTGGAGTGGTAGGGAAGAAGGTGAAAGAAAAGAAGCTGGAGTTGGATTCGCAATCAAAAATTCAATCGTTCAAAGAACCAACACGAATCAATGACAGAATCATCACCACGCAGAAGAGAACAAAGAAGAATTTTATTACAGACTGAGGGGAACCGTGAAGGAGGTCCCTACCACCGATAAACTCATTATAGCTGGTGTTTTTAATGCAAGGGCTGGATGTGAGCAAAATAACTGCCCCGGTGTAATTGGCTTACAAGGAATTGGAAAGTGCAACTCAAATGGTGAACTCTTACTGGCATTCTGCTCTGAGTACAAGCTAGTCATCATTAACACTGTCTTCAAACACAAGCATCATCACAAAACTAGTGGATGCATCCTCGGTCAAAGCATTGGCACCTATTAGATTATGTGATAACACGGCAGAGCGATCAGAAAGATGTGTTGGACACTAGAGTAATGAGAGGGGCTGACCGCTTGACACGTCACAACATGATTCGATCTAAACTCGCTTTCGTACTGAGGAAAGCCACTAGCAAGACTAAAGGAAAACCAACATCCAAGATGAATGTGGCTAAGCTGCGAAATGAGAAAGTATGCAGGGCGTTCCAGAAGCAAATGGACAAGGTCATAGAAGATAAGAGTGATGAAAACCTGGATTTAGAGGAGCAGTGGGATAGGTTGAAGACCACTGCCTACGAAACAACTGGAGATATCCTTGGTAAAACAGATCAGAAACACCAAGGTTCGTTTAATGAGAGTGGTGTTCAGCTTAACACATTTCCGAACGAAATAAGACTAGAGCAAACGAACTAAAAAGAAAAACACGAGCGAGCAGCTCTAGGCTTGCTACAGCCAGAATCAAACTTCAGAAGTATACCAGAGAAAAGAAGTCTCAGTGGTGGGAAGAGAAAGCAGTAGAGTTACTGTAGGCAGCAGACCAAAATGACATGAAGGCATTCTACAGTGGCCTTAGAGAGGTGTATGGACCACAGAAGAGAGGGAGTGTCCAACTAATAGCGCTTGATGGAGCAACAGTCTTGAAGAATAAGGACGAGATTCTGAAAAGATTTACCCAGCATTTTGATCAACTGCTAAATGTGCTTGGAACAATGGACCACACTGCTCTAAACAGCCTCCCAGATGTACCAAGAAATGACAGCCTGGATGAGTTACCGGAATTTAAGGCTCCTGGTGGATGTGGCATCCCTGCTGAGCTTTGGAAGTATGGTGGATTCAATTTGAAAGAGAGACTTTACGATCTGATTGTTGATATCTGGACAAAAGAAGAAATGCCACAAGATTGGAAGGATGCAAACATTGTGCCTGTCTTCAAGAAGGGCAACAAGAGAGACTGTGGTAATTACAGAGGAATCTCACTTCTGTTTATTGCTGGAGAAATAGTGGCTCGTGTTATCCTCAACAGATTAAATAACAAGATAACTCCTAACATCTTACCTGAGAGTCAGTGCGGATTTCGAAGCAACCGAAGTACCATCGACAAGATCTTTAGCCTGCGGCAGATCCAAGAGAAATGTATACAACAGAATATGCAACTGTATGCTGTATTCATAGACTTTACTAAAGCCTTTGATACAGTGTTAAGAGAAGGCCTCTGGATAATACTAAAAAAGTTTTGATCTACAGACAAAGTCATCAACATGATAAAAGCTCTAAATGAAGGGATGCAGGCCCGAGTAGTTAAAGGTAGAGACAATTCCAAAAAATTTGCTGTCACAAATAGTGTAAAGCAGGGCTGTGTGTGCGCACCTACATTATTGTCATTATACCTAACAGGAATGTTGAAAGTAGCATTTAGGAACATACATGAAGGATTTACATTCAGACAAGACATGGGGCAGCTCTCTTCAATGTGTCTCACTTCAAGGAAAAAACTCGCACTACTAGGTACTTAGTTCGAGAGATGCTGTTTTCTGATGATACTGCCCTGGTGGCTCACAATGCTGCAGATATACAATTACTTGTTCATGAGTTTGCCAGGGCTGCCGCTCGATTTCGCCTGAAGATAAACATCAAGAGGACAGAATGCCTGTTTCAACCAGTCAAACCACTTAGCCCTTCACCTGGGCCAGAATCAATCATGGTAAACCAGGAGCCACTTGTACTAAGCACTGATTTTACCTACCTTGGAAGTACTGTCTCGAACACTGCTAGAATAGACAAGGAGATTCGGAATAGAATGTGAAAGGCAAGTGCTGCTTTTGGTAAACTCCAACACCGGCTGTGGAAAAACAAACACGTTTCCATCTGAGCGAGGTGCAAAGTCTATAGAGCAGTGGTACTATCAAGCCTCCTTTATGGAGCAGAAGTACGGACAATATAGAGGTCACAGATTAAGAAACTACAAACTACATGCCTACATGATGAGACAGCTGAGAGACATAATGAACATCAAATGAACCGATAAAATAAAAAATTAAGAAATCCTTCGCAGACCTGCCATGCATGACTGACATACTGATTGAGAAAAACCTTAGATGGTTAGGACACGTGCACAGGATGGAAAACGACCGGCTCCCCCAACAAATGCTCTACTCCGAGCTCTGTGAAGGAATCAGAAACCAAGGAACACCTAGACTCAGATGAAAGGATGTAGCGAAACGAAATATGAAGTGGAAAAAGGCTGATAGTTTCGAAAGAAACTGTTTGGGGCTGCGTCGGTGGGAGTAACGAAATAATTTGGATATATCAACAAAGTTGAAATGGTAAATTGGCCACCGTAATGATTACAAAAGCTGACGTTTCGAGCGTTAGCCCTTCGTCGGAGCGAAACATTCTCTCCGACGAAGGGCTAACGCTCCGAAACGTCAGCTTTTGTAATCATTAC